GCAACTTCGAGCCTCAGAAGAAAAACAGGCTCGCACACGACAGATTGTTCATACTACAACAAAAGAGATTCTTGACTTCATCGACCAAACAGAAAAAGATACATCATGGATCATCGTTGAAAAATGATTGCTAGTAAACATAGAAACATGAGAATATTTAAACAAACAATTACTTGATCTTTACTTAGGCGACATAGATCAACCAATTGCGGTTAAAGCTGTTCAAGCAGCTTTACAAGAAAAAGATTCAATAACTCACTTTGATATGCTACCATTACTACGAAAAGCAACAGTCTATGATTTGACATTGCAACATGAATTGCCATCAATCGGATCATTCATTACATTCAAACGATGCACAAAACTTGTTCGATTTGGTTACCCACAAATGACATGTTTTAACACAAATTTAAGATCCATAGATCCAATGCCTAAGTCAGCAACACAAATAAATAAATCTCAAAATGTAGCATTAACATCATCTGTTATTGCAAATCTTACAACAACAATTACAACAGATCAGAAACTACATAGTCATACTTCATCACCAGCAACACAAATAGAACAACAAACAAATGACAAAACAAATACGACTACAATCGACACAACAGTTGCTCAAGGATTAACGATTGAAGTAGGCGGTGCAAGTCCAGTACTGAAGACAAATACATATATTTTTTTGCCAAGGACTTCAAGTCAAACAACAAGAATCAACGATGTGGACAATGGAGGAAGTACAAATTATCTGCCAAACCTACAGTCTTTCCCCGAACAAAATGCACGTGCGTTGTATATGAATACAACGCACGGGGTGCTTTGTATTCGTATACAACGCACGTGCGTTATGCTACGAATTTCGAGCACAAACTTCTGAAACGGCCGCCCCTGAAAAAATTAAGTATGTGCACATAGTGCCCTCACCTTTCATACGAGAAAACCCCCGTTAACTGAAACGGCAACCAGAAAAAAATCCACATTAGGAAAAAAGAAAAAAAAAAAAACAGACTTGGGGGACCGATACCGGGCCCTCTCTCCACTACTCACCAAATGTGCAAAATGTGAATGAATCTTATGCATGAAAACGGAAAGCGCACCTGTTGAAATCGAGCACTGTCGCGCACTGTCGAGATCGGCACGCACCTTGGTGTGTGTGTGTGTGTGTGTGTGCACGCGTGAGAGAGAGAGAGAGAGAGAGAGAGAGAGAGAGAGAGAGAGAGAGAGAGAGAGAGAGAGAGAGAGAGAGAGAGAAAGAGAGGCTCGGATCATTTGCAGGGGCAATGTCTTGGACCGCAATTGCGGTCAGATACACTCTCTCTCTCTCACGCACACACACACACACACACACACACACACACACAAGTACGTGCCTCTGTCGAAGGAGACCCCCCCCCCACCTTTCGAAATCGAGCGCTGCTGCGCGTTGTCGAAATCGGCACACACCTTTATGTGTGTGTGTGTGTGTGTGTGTGTGTGTGTGTATGTGT